TATGTTAGGATATAGGAGCCAGTAGAGTAGAACCCATAGTGTAGTTTCTATGTGCATGTAAATTCAAATGTGTAGTATCTATGTGCATAATTGGTGGTATGCTTAAAATATAGTGAGGGTTAATGGTGGAACAATTAAAGTATAGGAGCCTATAGACCCGCATCTGTGTAGTTAGGGTTGATGGCAGAACAAAATAAGTACGGGAGCATTCTTTGTATGCATGTATAAGTATTGTGGTATATGATATATTGGGGGAACTCACTTAGCCTAGCTCTTACCCAGTTGGTTATATATATTTTATAGGAGCTTGATTGGTTCATAAGAAGGACAAGGTTAGATTATACATACGCGCATTCACAATCATTTTTCCGCATAATGTAACAAATACTTTGATGTAAATGAATATTTTAAAGAAATAAAAATGAAAATTTTGCTATGAAAAATGGGACGTTACAATGTAAATGAGCTATTAAGAGGCATGTAAGTTCATGTTTTAATCAATTTAACAATATTGAAATGTTTTTTGATCATTTATTGTATCTAGTATACTATAGCTAATTTACAGTGCAATATGTATGAAAGTTTGTATCTTTTTGTGAGTGTCTTCATGTGAAAATTTGACTTTTCTGTTTTTTTTTCTTTTGTGTTTCTTCAAAATTGAGGAATATAATTGAATAGCAATCAATTTGTGTCTACAACTCAATCTCTAAAAAAGGAACATCAATCAACTAAAATAGATCTAAGTTAATAATAATATTTAAAGTCTATGCATTGACTACCCCAAAAAAATTTATCAACAAATTTTATCAACCGGTTGCATGATGGAGCATGCTACCTGCTGCAATCACAATTAATTTTTGGCTGTTGAGAAGCAATGGACACTACTACATTGGATAACAAAACACCCTGGCATGCTTTTGGATCTTGATGATTTTGGTTTAGTGACAATTGCCGAAAATGGTATTGTTTTAGTCAAAGGTTTTCTATTAGGATATATGAAATAGGGCATGAATGAACTGAATGACTAGAAATATTAATGATTAATATGCAGGTGTGTGATTTTATGTAGGTTTCAGAAGGAACAACCTTTTATCATGTAAAATGTAACACCCTAATTTTTTTAGCTTTTCCAAATCTATGGTTATAAAATCTTTTTTGAAAATTAACCCACATTTAACAAAAACCAGTCCCACAAAATACATTTATGATTAAAGCATTAGGTGTTTGTAATAAGCATCATACAAACCATACTAAGCAAATAATAATTATATCACTACAATAAATAAGGAACTTAAAAAGTCCAACTCCATTCTCTATCTCTTGCTTCTAACTTTCATCTATCATCCTTTCTGCTTAACTATAACCTAAGATACATGACATTAAAAGGGATACGTAAGACAATAATGTGTCATGAGCTATGTGGGTTTGTGGCCAAAAACATTTATCACATTTTCATCAAAGAAACATTTCATCTTTGCAAAAAAATAGTTTTAGACCATAAAACATTTTCAAGCATTTTCAAGGAAAACTCTTTTTATGCAACATCATATATATCGTTTCATATCTTATCATTTTATTTATTTTAATTTCATTTCAGAAGACATTTTTTCTAGATTTATTTTTCGTTTATCAAGGGCTAATTACAATATTAAATCGTTTCCAATTTTTGTACTTAGGGTATTCCCAAGTCTAGACCAAGGTGGAAAGAACAAATCAATCCACCAAGACATCGTGCTAACTAGAACATCTACTTCGCAAAGGGGAGGCTCCACCCCAGTAGATTCCTCTAGACCTCTTATGAGACATTATGGCCCAGACAACTTTCATTCACTCTTTACTTTCTTTTCTTTTTTACTTTCTTCTTAGCTTTCACTTTTCATATTAACAATACTAATATCATCATTTACAATATCATAGGTTATTAGGAAGATATACTTTGAAAAGACTCATTTCACATATCAAACATTTGTTCTTCCAAGACATTCTAACTTTCAAAACATTCTTTTCAAAAACATTTAACACTTCCATTTCAAAACATTTCATATATTAATGCATTGCATTAATTATCATAAAATCATTTTTCCATGTTCCCCAAAGTGGGAAAATTCCAACACGTACTCACCTCAATCACACGTAGGTTAACTACTCCTCTTCTAGTTCCTTTCCTTAGAGAAACACTCTTAAACATCACCTATAACATGGACATAATTCATTAAAATGACCAAAATACCCCTCATAGGTTCCATTAATAAATTTTACTATTTTAAAATATTCCTCATGTAAAAATATGAGCGTAGGCGAAAACCACGCGTAAATGCGAGTCTGTATGCAAAAGTTACGAAAAAATACATGGTATTGATCAGGTTATTATGTGCCCCATTGAATGATTTTCCTTGCCATTTGACGGCCGTGGAATGAGGTCTGCGCACACAAAATTCTCGAATTTACTCAATATAACACTCTACTTTGCATAGTTCTTGAAGAACCTTTTTCCCATTCACTTAGTGACACTTTTATAGGTTCTCACACATGTTTAGAATGAGTTTTATCATCTTAAAAAAACTCTACTTAATTCATTAAGTTCTCATTGAAACCTTTAAGATCCTGATGATCCGTAAGCTTGTAATAGAAAGGTTAACTAGTCTATCCTGTAATTGCACATTCACATTCTAAAACTCACGTAGTTTGTTCTTAACTCATTGTATACTCATATGAAAGTTGTAAAGTATATAAAACCACTATAAATCTCATTGTAAGTACATAAACAAACTATGGAATCCACAATCACTAGAGCTAGAACTTCACTAGCATTAATTCATGTTTGTGTTCTAATATCATCTCCATATTGTCAATTCATATTCATGAATGTCATTCATTTCTTAGATGTCAATCTTTATGTAGCAATCTATACATTTCCCAAAATGTCCTTTTGACCACAAACTCCATGGATTTGTCCAATAATTAATAAACACTTAGTATTTTGCATCCTAATCATTCTTATAGCATCCATTTAGGGTTATGAACTTCATTTGTTCAACAATTTCTCAACTACAAAGGATTTTATTGGTTTCATCATATTGTCCGCAAATCCATTTCAATCTTAGCATATACATGATTCTACCATCATTGGTGTGTTTGAGTATTCCAATTGGGTTAGTTTTCATCAAACAACATCTAATTCATATAAGTTATTCCAATTTAACATATAAACAATAAATCCTCAATTTACATTTCTAGGGTTTATGAGGGTTTTCACCCAAATCCTCAAATCCATCAATGCGATGATTGGATGGAGACTGAATCATCAAAACAACTCAACAGAGGTTTGGAACCCAAACCATAACCATTATATGGAGCTAATTTCGACATTGGATTTTTACCCACTTAACCAAAAACAATTTCTAGGCTAAATGGGAAGAATATTTGTACCTTGCAAGCCTTGATTCCTTCTTTACTTCGTTTGATTACTTAATTATTCAGTTAGATCGAACCTTAGATGGAAGAAGATGAAGAATCATGGAGACTCTCTAGACTTCATGAGTCTGGAAGAGAAATGAGGAGGGTGTTCATCTTATTTCCAAAATTTTCACATTTGGTCCCTTATGTTTGCTCATTTTAGCCAAAACTCACCAAACCTCAATACTTGTGACTTTAACGCATGTTCTGACATAATAAGTCCTTCCTCATCCATTTTATAACCTTTGTAATACGTTCCATTGAGTCAACCCTTTGGTCAACTCACTTTGGCAACTTGACACTTTTGGCTCTTTAACTTTTAAAATGTTAATTATTTTCACTTATAACTTTCCAAACTTCATACCACTAATGATATGATTAATATTTGATGATTTATTTATATGACTAAATTTTCATTTATGACTTTATTAATTTAAGAACATAGTCTTAAATTCTAGGATGTTACAATTATCTACCCCTTAAAAGGTTTCCGTCCATGAAATTACTTCGTGAGCCATCTCATTAGAACTTCATTCATCCAGTCACCCTTAAATTCCATTGATGGTCACATCACTTAGGTCATTTTTCACAATAGAAATCTACCTAATAATCAATAATACAAATATAGGAGTTATTAACCCTTTTGTCCCCTTTTTTTAACTTTTAACAAATTATTCTAACAGTGATATCAAATATTTTAAGAGATGTCATCTTATCATGTTCCAAAAAAAGTTTAAGGCATGTATGAATCCTTATCAGCTCCTTTTTAACCTTTAGATCAACATTTATCTATTTATTTACTTAGGTTCTAATATGCCTAAGCATGTCCCATCTTGCTCAAGCACATCACCTACATTTCATTTTTTACTAATTCCATTAGTAAGTCAATACCAACACCTATCTGCGAATATATCTTTTCATCCTGCCCTTTTTGACCTTTACTGGTATTAAAGTCTCAAACATAACATAGTATCTTCAACTTGGCTTGAACGCCTTCCAAAACACACTATGGTACACATATTGTCTCATTTCTATTTCTATAATCACAATTAACCCATTGTTGGGTTTTATACTTATAGTCTAATAACTCTTCATGACCTCTCATTTCTATAGGTCTTGATTTATAGGTCATAATACTATGTAACGCCCGTGTTTCGAGGCTAAGCATTAGTGCAGTGATGTAATAGTCTAGGTCAACTATTGTAACTCTTTTTGAAGTAATAAAGATGAATTATTTGAGTATTATGTGAATTATGTGAATTTATATGCTTATTACTTATTCATAAAGTTATAATTAATAAAGGATAAAAATAAGCCTCAAAATTTAAGTTTTGAATAAACCCAATATCGATACATAAAGTGGTAGTGGTCGTGACAAGGATTCCGGACATATAGAGAACGCCGAAATCCGAGTTATAACGAAGAAGTTATGACCTATCGAAGTTTCGCGACAGAACCGACACGACACTGCGTGACGTAAATAGTGAATTTACGATAGAGAGATATTTAGCCTTAGCGATCTAAACGAAAGTCGTAGTGTTCGTATGGACAGTTAATATCGGCGCTATCCAGGTGCTATCCAGGTGGGATATCGGTTATCGGCCCCTTTCAAAATATCGGTATCAAATATCGGCCCATAATATCGGAACCGTAAATATTGGCGATAATTACCGATATTTTACCGCTATTTTGATTCCTAAATATCGGTTATATCACCGATTTTCCAGAAAATCTGTTTTCGGGCCAAATTTGTGGATAAGCCCATAAACTTTGATTTTTTTTGGAATTAATACTCATTGCTCATAAGCCCAAACGACTAAAGTCTACTTTTAACCCCAAATTCCCAATCGACAATCGTATACCTAGCTTTTCATCGGATTGTCTTTGTTCGTATTCAACCTCAGACGATAGCGACTTGCGACTTCAACACTGATTTGCGATTCTTGTTCCATTATTCTTCTTCGGTTGTTCCATTATTCTTCTTCGATTCTTCAACTGTTAAGCAGCACAGGAGCTACGGTTCTTCGTCTTCAGCAGCTACTGTTCTTCGTCTTCAACAGGTACCTTCGCTTCTTTGGTTCTTCCACTATTAAGCTTCGAAATTCGAATTGGCCCAAACTTGTTCGTCTTCAGCAACTATTGTTCCATTAACGGATGTTATTTTTGGACCTGATACTATTAGCTTCGAATGAATCTCATGTTGCCCAAATTTTTATCTTTCTTTTCTTTTCTGTTTGTATCCTCGTCTTCAATATGTTGTATATTTTTCATTTTTTCTTAACTTGGTTGTTAGTTGTTATTGTTAAGCCATGGATTCATGGTTTTAAATATTAACTGATCATGCATTTTAGATATTGTCATATTGTACTTAAGTGTTAACTGTTAAGTTGCTAGTTGCTACTGCTTACAAGTTTCTTTGATGTTGTATTTGTGTTAAATATACAACATCTATTTTACATATATTGGTTGTTAGTTGTTAGTTTTTATTGTTACAGGATCATGTTATTGTAAAGGTCTAAGTTTGTAACAAGTGCTTTATTCTTAAACTATCCTGTTGTTTTGTTACCTTGTTACTGATCGTGCTTTTTGCAACAGCTTTGATGATGGATGGTCCATCCTCACATGCATCTGTAAACCCTACAAACACAAACAATAATACAATATCGTCTGATGTCAGAACTGGGACAAAATGTTTGAATGGAGATATGGCATGGGAATGGGGAGAGTGGAGAGATCCCTCAAAAAAACAAAGCATTTGGTGTACATTATGTGGTAAGATGGTAAGTGGAGGAATCACACGATTAAAGCAACATCTTACTCATACCTCAGGGCAAGTCACCGGTTGTCCGAATGTGACTGTGGATATCCAAAAGAAAGTCATGGCATCAATTAAAGAAAAATATAAGATACAAAAGGAAAAGAAAAGAAATATAGAAATTCTTAGATCTTACACAGTTGATCTTTCCGATGGAAGATGAGGATGAGGAAGTCGTTGTACAAGAAGTTAGTTCAAAAAGAAATGTTTCAAAGAAAAAGAAATTAGTGGGTGCTAGCAATGTGTGAGGTCCTCTCGATTAAATTTATCAGACTAATCATGGAAAAAAAAAAGCAAAGTACACTTGATAAAAATAATCCAATAAAAGAGAAGTTAAAGATGAATGCTTGGGATAAAATTGCAACTTGGGCTTATTCGGTTGGTTTACCCTTCAATGCCATACGTGACGAAGGTTTTCAAGATATGATCAATTCCATTGGTGAATATGGAAGAGGTATTTAAATGTGATTAAAGATTTATTGGTTATTTTATTATTACTTAAATACTTAATTTTATGACTTTATATTAGGTATGCCAGCTCCATTTTATCATAATATCCGTGTCACATTGATGAAAAAACATTTAGAAGATACTCAAAAGTTTGTGGATTCATTCCGGCCACATTGGGAGGAATATCGGTGTAGCATTATGTCCGATTTTTGGACAGACGGTAAAGGAAGATGTTTGATAAATTTCTTACTCAACTGTCCTCTTGGAACGGTATTCTTGAAATCAATTGATGCATCATAGCATGTAAAGAATGCTCAATTGATCGTGGAAATGATAAATGAGGTGATAAAAGATGTTGGAGAGGAGAACATTGTGCAGGTAATTTTACTTTCTAGTTTTCTAAATATTATTTGTTATTTTAAATTTATAATCATTTTATTAATTAAATTCTTTTTCTTATTTTCTTATAGTTCATTACAGACAACGGGTCAAACTTTAAAGCTGCTGGAATGATTTTAGAAGAGCAACATCCCAAGTTGTTTTGGACTCCGTGTGCAGCACATTGTGTGAATCTCATGATAGGTGATATTGGTGAAAAAATACCGAAGATAAAAAATACTTTGGCTGATGCAAGAGCAATTGTGGTTTACATTTACAACTACGGAAGAATTCTTAATCTGATGAGGAAGTTGACGAAGAACAAGGAGTTGCACAGGTCTTGTGTAACTAGGTTTGCAACCCAGTTTTATACAATTCAGAGTATCCACGAGAATCGACATCATATTCAAGTATTGTTTGTTTCTGAAGAATGGAAGAAAAGTGACTTTGCAAAGAAGTCGGCTGGAAAGAAAGTTGAGCGAATAGTTGCAAAACATGAATTTTTGGACATCGTACACTTTACTTGTCAGGTGCTAGCTCATTTGGTAGATGTGGTCAGATTGGTTGATATGGAAGAGAAGCCATGTATGGGTTACATCTATGATGCAGTAGACAGAGCCAAGGAGCAGATCAAGAAAAATCTGACTGGCACGCCTAATGAAAGAATGATCACTAGACTTTGGGCTATGATTCAAGCAAGATGGAGCGACCAACTTCATCACCCGTTACATGCAGGTATTAAACACTATATTTATTATTTTAATAGAATTTCCTAGTTTTACTTCTAAATCTTTATTGAATATGCAGCTGGATGTTACTTGAATCCCGCCATTTTTCATGGGGAAAATTCAAGGGAGATACGGAAGAACAGAGACATTGCGACGGGACTTTATGTTGCTATAGATCGTCTAGTGCCCGATAATGATGACAATGATAAATTGAGGCAAGACTTGAATCTATACATTGATTTAGTTGGGCAATTTGGATCTCCAGCTGCTATAAGGGCTAGGACAAAAGTTGCACCATGTAAGTAAAACATTTTTAACATATTTACATGTTTTTATAGCATAATTTTTTATAAGGTCATTTCATTTATTTATAAAATGTAGATATATGGTGGCGTACTTATGGGATCGACCCGCCTTTGCTCCAAAATTTTGCTATCACAGTCCTTAGTCAGACATGTAGTGCTTCACCTTGTGAACGCAATTGGAGTGTATTTGACAATGTAATTGGTTTCTATCTAGTACTTTTTATAAATAATATTAAATTTAACTTATTTACTTCATTAAGTAATTCTTTTATTCTTTGTGTGCAGTTACATTCAAAGAAAAGAAATTGTTTTTTGCAGCAAAAACTTAATGACCTTGTATTCATCCAATATAACACAATACAACACAAGGTTACAAAGGCGCTACAATTCATTAAAATCCAACAGATCTTTGGATCCTATTTTATTGAGAGACGTAGAGGAAAATGATGATTGGGTTATACCAACAGAAGTTGAGCTTCAAGAGTTTGCTGATGGTAGAGATGGTCTCTTTGGTCAGCTACGCAAGAGGCAATGGGAAGAAACGAAGAAGTTGGGGTAACAACTAGGAGCAAAAGAGAGTGGTCTCTTTGGTCAGCTACGCAAGAGGCAATGGGAAGAAACGAAGAAGTTGGGGTAACAACTAGGAGCAAAAGAGAGTGGTCTCTTTGGTCAGCTACGCAAGAGGCAATGGGAAGAAACGAAGAAGTTGGGGTAACAACTAGGAGCAAAAGAGAGTGGTCTCTTTGGTCAGCTACGCAAGAGGCAATGGGAAGAAACGAAGAAGTTGGGGTAACAACTAGGAGCAAAAGAGAGCGCTACAGAGATGATGTTGATGATGATATTAGAATTGAAGTGAATCATCTTGATGAACAATTGGATGCCTTGGTTGATGTGGACTCGGAGGAAGATTTCATGGCTTACGATTAGATTATGTTTCGATTAGATCATGTTTTGATTAGATTATCTTTAAAACATTAACACATTTTGAATTTTCTAGTTGCTATTATACTTATATATGTTTTACGTTAAGTAGTTATATTATTATTATTATTATTATACGTAATAAAAAATGCCGATATCCCACCGATATCCCACCGCGATAACCTATATATCGAGTATCGGCCCTTGACCGATATTTGATTTTCGACCGCTATAACTGCATAGGTGTTCGTTAAACCGAGAGCGCCCATAAAAAGAATGTCCAAATCTGACTTCATATGACGAAATTATGATTTTTCGAAGTTTCGGCTTAGCAGTGTACAGCCCGGAACTCGAATATTAGATCGAACAGTTTTTAGCCGACACAACCTAAACGAGAATCGAAGATCTTGTTAATAGTAGCGTAACGATAAAAAGACAAACGCAAATGGATGTCGGATGAAGAAGTCATGGATTTTTAACGGACCAATCTTGTCCCGGCCTGTTAAAAATATAACTTTAAAAATAAAACAAAATTAGCCGACGGAGTCTAAACGAAAGTTTTAGAGAACGGTCCCGCCTACGCGTGGATATAAAGAACGTCGAAAACGGAGCTCGTATGTGAAAGTTACGAATTTTTAAAGTTGACTCGGATTTGGGAAGCTGATTGCGAAGTTGCTGACGTGGCCGAATCTCAGCCGTTCCTTGTTGCCCACGCCTCACTTCGGATGGGTGACAGCTGGCCTCGCTACGCCCAGCGTAATCCGAGGTTACGCCCAGCGTGACGTGTACGCGCCGTGTCCGAGCTCGGTTATGCCCTGCGATCTCCGCTTCCTCGGTCCACATTGAGCCACGTCGCCCCACCCCTTATCCGACGCGTGTTGTACGAAGCGAGCCCTACGCGCAGCGTACTCCGGAGAGTACGCCCAGCGTACTCCGTAGGTGGCGCCTATAAAAGGAGGCCGAGGGCTGCCATTCTTCTCACACCAAATCCTTCTCTTTCTCTCACTAATTTCTCTCTCTAGCCTACCCTAACCCCCCTAAAGCCAAGGTAAACCCCCTAGCACCCGAAGGAAGCCCCGAGGCTCCCGAAGGCTCCAAGAAAAGAGCATTTCGGTTTGGAAACACTGCTCTAGTGAAGCCCGGTTTTTGATAAAAACCCACTGTAAGTGAGCTACGACTACACCATTTTAAATATAGCTTTTATTTAAATATAATAACGTTATTATGAACCTATAAATAAGATTTATCAGTGATTCAAAGTCGTTATACTGATTGATCTACTTACATGAATGATGTCTAGGCTGTGATTTAATGTGGTGTTTAAAGTGGGATTTCCAAATAATATACTTCGTATACCAAACGGACCCTACCTCCGATATGATCCTACCTGGTTGTTCCTTACTTGATAGATCATGAAGTAGACTTTGAGTTAATGATGAATCTAGACTAATAATTAGTCGCAATGAATATTAGACTAAAATCTAGTGATAACGATACTAGGTTTCGTCGAAAGAAAATAAATTAATAGAAGCGAAGCGCTGTCTGAGTTCGGAATCACCACCTTAACAAGTGAGTGCATAGTTACTTTTATCTTACACATAGATATGAAGTATTTTATATAAATTACATGCTATGTTTGCATATTGTGTGTATACTTGCTATCTATGCTGGATGAACGATTTTTATACATGTTTTAAATAATTTAAACTGTATATGTATTTTATATCTACAAAATGTGTTGGGTAAAACATTGGTAGATGTAATAGACGATGTGTGATAAAATGATGAGAGGCCTCGATGTTTTAAGATGATCCAGTCATCTAGCGGAGTATAGATGACAACCACGGACTATTCTAGACAGTCTAGTGGAACGCTAGCAGGATCGCAACATGTAGGTGTTTATTTGAACTTAGTTTTCACCAGCAGTACTCCATCCCCCACATGGTTGCCTTATTTGACATAAATTGCTGAGGAACCCCCGAAGCAGTGTTGTCACCCCGATGAAAGTCTTTAGACTAGGTCCCTTGTGTTAGATGTTTTAGGGACGTAAAGTGAGGATAACGGGAACGGGTAATCGGGCTTTTTTGGTTTGATAAAGTTAATAAATTTATTTATTGTGGGTTGAAAACCCTATGTGCTCACCAGGCTCCCAAGCCTGACCCACTCAGTTTCTTGTATTACAGGTAGTGACACTCGAGCATAAATGTGATGTCTTGGATGAGGGATTACGGATTATAGGCATGTAGATATAAATAATGTAGTAAGGCTTATATTGTACTGTTTATGCTTTTGATCTGTATCGAACATGACATCCCGAGGTTTTTAATGAAACACATTTCTTCGGAAATGCTTTGATAAGTCTTTATCATATTTTCTTTTGGGAACGAATTCCGCAACACTTTTCTTTAAAATGTTACTCTGATTTTTAAACAAAGTATAAACAAATCGGTCTTTTCTGGCCGTGAAAAGTGGGGATGTCACAGTTTGTATCAGAGCATTAGTTTAAGCGAACTAGGAATTTGTAGGATTTCTAGACTTAAACTTAGAATGTTAAACGATGATTGTGAGATGAATGTCTACTATATTTTAGACACAAGCACTAGTTTATTTTAGGAAAGATGCCTAAAATGCTTTTATGTGCTAAATGTTTTATGTTATAGCAGTAAGAATGCCTTATATGTTATTATTTGTTCGAATCTATGGTCTGTTGTCGACCAGATCTGGAAACCTTATGTGTTCAGGATTCTAAACGTACGATTACGATATTAGAACTAACATATAAACGTTTCGGAGAAATAAAGATGATTTAAACGTCTATCCTAAATAAAGATTTAAATTCAACCTATTCGGTGTATAGATCAAAATGGCAAGAACCCGAAATGGAGTCGGGAACGCGAACGGAAATAGGAATCAGCCCCCAGTGATTTAGCAAATACCTGTTGTAGCAGATGCTCCTGAGCCAATTACAATGGCCGGAGTACAAGCCATGATACGGGCTATGTTGGCTGAACAACGGGAAGAGATGAGGCAGATGTTGCATGAAAATAGGGACGAACCTACAATACTAGTTGAACAACCCGAATTGAACGATGGTCAAGCCAACCCACCAATAGTTCGACAAAACAACCAGGATGACGGAGTCAAGAGGAATGGATGCGGGTACAAGGATTTTCTGACTTGCAAGCCATCGACTTTCACTGGAAAGGAAGATCCGATCGGAGTCATGGATTGGATCTCGGAGATGGAGTTAGCTTTCATGACGTGTGGTTGCAGAGGCAAGTTACAGACCACCTTTGCAGTACGTCAGTTCCGAGGAGGCGTTGTGCACTGGTGGAATACCCTGGGGAAGACTCTGAGCCCGAATGAGCCCCTGCAACTGACATGGGCAGAGTTTTTGGTGCAGTTCAAACGCAAGTACTGCTCAGCCCAAAACCTGCTCGAGCTAGAGAACCAATTCCTGACCTTGAAGAAAGGAAGCATGTCAATTGATTAATACACCAACAACTTCACAGAGAATATGGAGTTCGCCTTGCGTCTTATTCCGGATGAGCTGACGAAAATCGACAAGTACGCAAAGGGACTTCCATGGGAGTACACGGTGCAAGTGCGCCAGGCACCTACTCTGGAGGCAGCTATCTGGGCTGCCAAGTCTGTGGAGGATATGATTAACGAAAGAGCTGCCAGCAAGGTTGAGGTTGGCGAGAAGAGGAAGTTCGAGGGGTCTGCAAGGCCCAACAATAAGAAAATCAAGTACGGTCCAAGAAAGTTCGGAGGAGGAAATGAAGCGAAGTGGTGCGAGAAGTGCAAGAAGAAGCACTTCGGGAAATATAGCGAGGAGGTGACCTGCTACAAGTGTGTCAAGACCGGGCATTACGCCAATGAGTGCACCGCCAACAAAAGGGTGTGCTATGGATGTAACCAGGAAGGGCACATTGTGAAGGATTTCCCGAAGAAGAACGAGGCGACAAGGCCCAATGTCCCACCGAAGCCGAAGGTGAGAGCCTTCCAGATGACGCTCGAGGCTGCGAAGGAGGCAACAGATGTCGCTTCAGGTACCTTTCTTGTAAATGGTTTGCCTGTCAATATACTATTTGATTCGGGAGCGAACTACTCCTTCGTATCGCATAAATTTGGTAGGAAACTAGCATTGCCTGTAGAAAAACTTGTCAATGCCTTAGTTGTGGAAGTTGCCAGTGGCAAGTTCATATCTGTTAGTGATCGTATTAAGAACATCGTCATCGACTTAAACGGAAACGAATTCCACAAAGAACTGCTACCCATAGAGTTGAACGGTTTCGATATCGTTCTGGGAATGGATTGGCTTAGCGCCAACGATGCTGGAATACTTTGCAGAAAGAAGATAGTGAGGGTAAACCCACCCGGAAAAGAGTCATTTATGGTGTACGGGGACAAACGCAGAGTGAATTCTGGAATCATCTCCCTGATGAAAGCCAGGAAATGTTTGTCCAAGGGATGCACATCGTATTTGGCATTTGTGATCGATGCTAAGAAGGAAAAGAAGGAGGTGCAGAATATACCAGTGGTGTGTGATTATCCAGAAGTCTTTCCCGAAGATCTTCCCAGATTACCGCCTGATAGACAAGTAGAGTTCCGAATAGACTTGTTACCAGGGACGACACCAATAACAAAAGCACCGTACCGACTAGCACCGACGAAGATGAAGGAGCTCATGATGCAACTTTAGGAGCTGTTGGACAACGGTTTTATTATACCTAGTTCATCACCCTGGGGAGCTCCGGTGTTATTCGTGAAGAAGAAGGACGGAAGCATGAGAATGTGTATAGACTACAGAGAGCTGAACAAGGCAACGGTGAAGAACAAGTATCCATTGCTAAGGATTGATGACCTATTCGATCAGCTGCAAGGTTTGAGTTATTTCTCAAAGATCGATCTTAGGTCAGGATATCATCAGCTGAAGGTAAGAGAACATGATATTGAGAGAACTGCGTTCAAAACGAGATATGGACACTGCGAGTTCTTGGTTA